CAACAGATCAATGATAATTCAAATGTTGATGCTCTTCTATCCAAAATTCCTCATTGGTTAACACCTCCCTTACCAACCAGAAAAAGATCCGAGCCATGCAGAGAAAGTAAGGTACTGTTTCGGATGCCACAGGTTAAAACTTTCTCTACACAGAATATTAATTTGGAAGTATCTTTGTTTACAAGCTAGACTTTTTGATTCCAAATTATCGTTGTCTTCATGTATATACTGATATGGAGCTGTCTAAATATATACATTCAGGAAATTGAAAACGGAGGGCCTACATCAAAGAAAATCAATGTGGCTGCTCTGAGACCGATACCTCACACCCGTCGACATAAGATGATACCTTTCTCTGGTTACTCTGAAATTGGAAGATTTGATGGTGACAACACCAAAGGAAGCTTGCCTATGCCTCCAAAGCATGGTGCATCAGGCGGTACTCCAGTAACTCACCGTAAAGCTTTCTCTGGTTCGTACCAGAGAAAGCAAATCATCTCTCTAAACCCTTTGCCTCTCAAGAAACACGACTGTGGAAGAGCTCATATTCAGATTTGTTCAGAGGTTTGCCTTATTTTCCTTGTGATGAATAATAGTTTGAACTTAAAAACCCTTTTAACATTGATGTTTTTTCCTTTGTGACTTATATGGGTGCTGTCTCTATATGTAGGAGGAGTTTCTAAGGGACGTGATGCAGTTTTTGCTAATACGAGGACATAGCCGTCTTGTTCCTCCAGGAGGGCTAGCAGAGTTTCCAGATGCTGTCCTCAACTCAAAACGGCTTGATCTGTTCAACTTGTATAGAGAGGTAGTTAAACAGTGGTTTGATCAACCGAGGCAGCTAGCATTACATTTGGTGAGCTAAAAATGAGAGTTATTGCAGGTTGTATCACGGGGAGGGTTCCATGTAGGGAATGGGATCAACTGGAAGGGACAAGTTTTCTCAAAGATGCGGAACCACACACTCACAAACAGAATGACTGTAAATGACTGATTTCTAAACTCACTACTTGATTTTTCCTTGACTGATGTCTTAAAACTAACTCTGGTGTCATTATGGCAGGGAGTGGGCAATACGTTGAAGAGACACTATGAGACGTATCTACTGGAGTATGAGTATGCTCATGATGATGTAGATGGAGAGTGTTGCTTAATATGTCGCAGGTACATTAAGAACCTTCTTTCTCTGTCGCGTGAGAATGATACATGTTATTAATAACGCATTGGTTTTTGGTTGCAACAGTAGCACGGCTGGTGACTGGGTGAACTGTGGATCGTGTGGAGAGTGGGCTCATTTCGGATGTGATAGAAGACCCGGCCTCGGGGCGTTTAAGGTAAGCAAACAAACACATACTCGTCATTACATCAATTGCCTGTGTGTAGTTGCTGATTAAACATATGATATGACAGGATTATGCGAAAACGGATGGGTTGGAATATGTGTGCCCAAATTGTAGCGTCTCTAATTATAGGAAGAAGTCTCAGAAGACCTCTAATGGTGGCTTGCTTGTCCCTTAGCTTCACGTTTCATCTTTTTAAGTTTATTTTTCCTTTGAAAACCAATGATTGATTGATTCCTCCTCTGATATTTCACGTGTTTTTCGCAATGCAAGTTTTTTCTATTCATTCTTATGAAGAGTTTTTAAATGATAGATTGCAAACAAAAGGAACATGAGAATGGAAAGAAACAATATAAAAATCGCAGACTGAATTTAAAAGTTGAAATGAATTGGAATTTAACAAGTTCGAACCAACCAAGCTAATGTATCCCTCAAGTCTAATGCCAATTCGCTAAAATGGAGTGAAGTATTAAGCAAAGTATTGATGTGAAATAAATAAAGACATGAAGTGAAGTATCAAATAAAGTATTGATGTGAATTATGGTGTGAAGTAAAGTATGTATAATAAGTGTGAAGAAAGGAATATGCTATGTAATATTCTTTAGGTTATGTACTATAAATAACAAGCTTGGTGAGGTTTGTTCACCATAAGCTGAAGTGTCTAAAATCCTAAATCCTAAGAGTCCTTTGTATTCTCTTGAGTGTGTTCTTATAATATAAAGATTTCTCTTATATATACTCTCTTCCATAAACACTTAATCCCTTTCATCTATTTGTTTCATATATCTCGATCCTATAATACCTCATACGTGGTTGTACCCATTATGTGTCTGTAAATTTGGTATCAAAGCCATGGCAGTCTAAGCTTTGACTCTTCGATATCTAAGAAGTAGTATGCCATATCGTTGTTTTCTATTATATGCTTTGCATGGAAAGTATGCTCTGTGGTTGCCATTTTTAATGGATCCTCCACATCAGAAATCTTGCTAAGTTTGAATGAAAAGATCTAAAGAAAGGATCCGTGAGGTTATAATGCTCGAAGTACCTTGAGGCTTTATTGTTGATGAGAGTTGTTTGCCTCGGTTTGCGTAGCTAATACCTCATGATCATTTCTTTATGCTCTTAGCGCTTAATAAGTCCTATGAAAACAACTTATGGATTATGACTACTTTGAAGATTGAGAAGAAGTTAATAGCATTCTGTCTTGGTTTCTGGTCTCTTCATCTATTATAGAAAATATGTTAACTTTGTCCAAAACACCCTCTTTCCGCAAATCCACCTCTAAAAAAGTAGATTATTTATATGAAATTGAGTACTTGAGTGATGAGTATAAAGTTCCTATTACCCAACTTCCTTTGCTTAATCCTTATAAAGCCTTCTCAAAGCCAAATTCTGCTTTCCCTAAAGTCATCAGACAAGTGTTTGTACCTAACAAACATACCGCTACAGAGCTCGTTCTAGCCTCTCCTCTAGAACAACTTCTGGTCCCTGCAACAGAAGCGGAGCAAATGGTTCCTCTCTACCTTAATGAAGGAATGATACACCATTGGCGAAGTCTTGGCTATACACATCTTCACTATGGAGCAATACGTCTAGCGTTAACCCTTCATGGAAGAAAAAGCTTACTGGTAGTGGCAAGAGCCGCTCTCCTCGACACCAGATACAAAGAGTACCAACATGCTTGCATCGCAACTATCCAGACGACATTAAATGTTAACACTATCTTCGTGACTCTTTTCCCAAACTTTAACGTGGCTTTAGAAGACCCACAAATCTGTCGGAACATGCAGATCCAACTCCTGATTACCGGCGCTCCACAAATCGGAAACACATATGCAGCAACCCTACACCATCAAATAGCGTACAGAGTCCAAAATCATGCTATGGATCTAAGACTTCGCCAAATGGTGTATAATTCTTTCATTAAGGTAGAGAGGAACCATTTGCTCTGCTTATGTTGCAGGGACCATAAACTGTTCTAGAGGAGAGGCTAGAACGAGCTCTTTAGCAGTATGTTTGTTAGGTACAAACACTTGTCTGATGACTTTAGGGAAATTGGAATTTGGCTTTAAGAAGGCTTTATAAGGATTAAGCAAAGGAAGTTGGGTAATAGGAACTTTACTCTCATCACTCATGTACTCAATTTTATATAAATAATCTAATTTTTTAGAGGTGGATTTGCGGAAAGTGGGTGTTTTGGACAAAGTTGACATATTTTCCATAATAGATAAAGAGACCAGAAACCAAGACAGAATGCTATTAACTTCTTCTCAATTTTCAAAGTAGTAATAATCCATAAGTTGTTTTCATAGGACGTATTAAGCGCTAAGAGCATAAAGAAATGATCATGATGTATTAACTATGCAAACCGAGGCAAACAACTCTCATCAACAATAAAGCCTCAAGGTACTTCGAGCATTATAACCTCACGGATCTTTTCTTTAGATCTTTTATTCAAACTTAGCAAGATTTCTGATGTGGAGGATCCATTAAAAATGGCAACCACAGAGTATACTTTCCATGCAAAGCATATAATAGAAAACAACGATATGGCATACTACTTCTTAGATATCGAAGAGTCAAAGCTTAGACTGCCATGGCTTTGATACCAAATTTACAGACACATAGTGGGTACAACCACGTAGGAGGTATTATAGGATCGAGATATATGAAACAAATAGATGAAAGGGATTAAGTGTTTATGGAAGAGAGTATATATATAAGAGAAAGCTTTATATTAGAAGAACACACTCAAGAGAATACAAAAGACTCTTAGGACTTAGGATTTTAGACACTTCAGCTTATGGTGAACAAACCTTACCAAGCTTGTTATTTATACTACATAACCTAAGGAATATTACATAGCATATTCCTTTCTTCACACTTATTATACATACTTTACTTCACACCATAATTCACATCAATACATTACTTCACACCATACTTCACATCAATACTTTACTTGATACTTCACTTCATGTCTTTATTTATTTCACATCAATACTTTGCTTGATACTTCACTCCATATACTTATCTTATATGTAAGTTGCAAGAGACTTCAATGGTATTTGCTAGACCATGGTTACCAAGGTCCAATGCTACTCACTTTGGAAGATTGTGAATCTAGAGTCTCTTATATGTAAGTTGCAAGAGACTTCAATAGTATTTTGCTAGACCATGGTTACCAAGGTCCAATGCTACTCACTTTGGAAGATTGTGAATCTAGAGTCTCTTATCTATATCCGGGACCATTCACGGAAGGAAGTCATTATCAGAGTTCTTTAGAAGATGACGACAATGGCTTCCGAATCGTGAGCCTTTGTGCTCGTCCATCTTGCATCCTCCCTCTTCCGGGGTTGAGGTAACACTTCAGGGGCAAGTATGGGTAGCAAGAGCTATCAAATTCTGAGAAGTTTGTGGAGCTATTGCATTAAAAAATGGGAGGCCTGTCAAAATCCTTTACCGTTGTGCTTTGTATTAGCAACTTTGTTTGTTGTTTCCTTGTCCGGATTCTAATGTTAGTTCTGGAAACAACTTCCCGCGATTTTCTATCTCTCCTCTAGGAGAGCTGCACGATTCTGACTTATGAAATGGGTTTTGGTTGGCGAAACAGAAAGACAAATAGAACCGCAAATTATATGATGCAACTCTAAAACAAGGTTTAAAAAGGTAAGCAAGCTTTGAAAAACTAAATATAATCCTAAAACGTTCATAATTCCTGACTTTCGAGCAGCAGACGTTTGGTTCTTGAGAGAAACAATTTATGTACATGTACATTTGAATAGTTTCAAACTTATGAAACGAATTTGGGAAACGTTTATATACAAAGAGTAGATTGTAATGCGAATGGAGACTACGGGCGTAAACCTGCGTAGAGATCCCTGAGGGCAGTGTACAACGGTTCAGCTGCCTTGGGTTGATCAACCATCCCAAGTAGAATGTCCGATGTGGATAGGTATGGATCGCCATAGAATTTTACATTCATGTCCCTTCTTGTTGCCACCACATTTCCTTCTAGAGATACTCCCACGAATGCCCCTGTTCATACCACACAACTTATCTCAGGTTCTAGATTTACACGACATACCTGACGGCTGACTAGACTATTTTGGATGAGACTATACAATTCCTCTGTAATATTAGATCCTAAGGAGCTACGAGTCTACTAGGCAAATCATAGATAATGAGAAAAGTGAAAGCTGAGGCATGAAGTTGAGATGGTGAAAACCTTTGCTTCGGCTGTAAGTATAGCATACGCCAGAGCCTCTGTCACCAGCTCGAAGGTCAGCCTCCAACACTCTCCCTATAGGTCCTGCAGCTGCACTGCATCCCGCACCTAGAGAGAAGTGCATTCTGCTGCAGAATGCTTTCACCGCTTTCACATCATGCATCACGATTATGAAATCCATCAACTCACCTCCAATCTGACAGAAGAGTACAAAAGTTATTATGTGGTTTCTTCTACGTGTAACTCACAAGTACGAGTTGAATGGAAAAGATAGAGTTTACCTGAGCACCCCATCCCAAACCTACTGACAGTATGGCAGATGGAGCAGACCATGACCCATCTGATCTCCGAGATATTACCAGACCAGTCCCGAGTTTGTACGACAGTAAAGCCCCAACCTTAGCAACTGTTATGATTGCCAAACCTTTAGCTCGACTAAGAACTGCATGTGGTATGGATTTCTCAGGGTCTAGTGTTGCTACCTGTGTATTTCGTTAACCGATTAAACAAACATCAATGATCATTTCATGTGCACCTTAACATTTGTTACTCATTTCTCTACTTGAAGATCTTAGTCAACAACATTAACACATGTACTTTAAGAAATTGGATGAAAAATCAAACCTGGCAGTAACCTCTCAGCGTAATAGATGCCTTGTATATCTCATCTTCCATGGATAGACCAACGGGAAGATTCAACCATCCTCTTGAGCAAGTCCAATCCACAACATCATGTTTTGCAACTTGCACAGCATTACTAATAGAGTTAATGAGAACACCTTGCAAAGGATCAAGCCTTTCGTAGCAAGAATCACAAACTCTCTGAGGATTCCTTTCCCGAAACCGACTAGGCATTAAACACCTCCCTTTCGAACAATTCCTACAAAACACCCCTCCGCAGAACCGACAATGATGTCTCCCACACGTAATTGCAGTAAAAGGAGAAGAACACTGCATACAAGTAGTAGTCGAACTATCAGGCAACCACTCAGGAGGTTCAGCTTCAAGCAAATCCTTGTAAACACTATAATTAATCCCACTCGGTTCAAGAAGAGGCGGAGCACTCGGTATGTAAACAGACGAATGAACAAAAGTATCTCCGTTCTTGCCAGAGCCGAGAAACGAAACATTCGAAGAAGCGACTTTCTGATCTAACGAACCATTCAAGTCCTTGTTCCTCCCAGTAACTATAGCAATCAAACCAGTCAAAACGTTTTTCAAATTCACTTCAGGTGTCTCATTTCTTTGAATCGGATTCGTCGTAGAGAGCTCATCAGCTGAATCATATCCATCATCAACAAAATCTCCAGAGTCTATAATTGGATAATCAGAATCTTTCTTTTTAGAGATTGATTCAATAACAGGCCATTTAGGTCCATCAACATAGCCATCATCATCATAACCACCATCATCATCATCATCATAATCATCATACTTGAATTTGATGTTCTCTTTTCCGTTGAGTGTAGCCATGACTTAGAAATTAAAAAACAAAAATTTCTGCAAAAGAATCAAAACCCAGATCATAAAGTTTCATACAAACTCCATAACTATTGAAAACCCTAATAAAGCTTTTGATTTTGAATTCTAAGGTTATTCGAATCGATATTACAAAATCACGAGAATCGTGGATCAGAATTATAAGATTAAAACACGAACCTGTGTGCTTTTGAAGGTGAAGATGCAAATCAGGAGAAGAGAATTAGCAATTTCGATTTATGGGATTGATTTGAGGAAGAAGAAGAAGATAAAAGGTAGAAGAAAGCAAGAACACGGCGCCTCGGTTTTGAGGGGAATATTTTATTTATTTTATTTTAATAATAAATATACGAAACCATATATTTCGGATTGGTAAGCAAGTCATTAGACGGATTCGTACGTATTTAGTTGGGCCTAATGGGCCTTTGGCCAGGCCTTTTTGTTATTCTGGGTGAATAAATGTTGTTGTTTGCTATGTTGCATGGAAACGGAAACGGATACGCGGAAACGAAACGTTTCGGAAACGAGAAACGAGTTTTTAATAAAATTAAAATATGGAAACGTGTTGGAAACGCTAATAATATATACATATATCTATATATATAATATTAACATCAAACATCCAAACTATATTAATTTTAAATATTCAAAATAACACGTTAATCAAAATATATATACTAAATATTTTAACTAAAAGATAAATATTAAAACACTGAAATCCAAAATTTAGATATTAATATATCATATATTACTGTATATGTGTATTTAAATTAAATTAATCAGGTTTTAAAGGTATAAAAGTAATCACTTTATATATTATAAATTAAAATTTTTGTTTATTGAGTTTCTAAACTAAAAGTCTAAGATTTCGTCGGGTTTCCAAAATAGAAACGCGAGTTTCTATCGTGTTTCTTAAAATAACTTCTTATTTTATTGTATAGAAAATAGCTTCTTATTTTATTTTATTTTGGAGAGTCAAGCTTTTTTCTTTTTTTTTGAAAAAGGGCGAGAGTCAAGCTTTTAACATTGTATTTTGTTCTTTTTCGATATGTCTTTAATTTTTTTTTTATCAAATTGTATTTGACTCAATGATTTAAGAAAATAATAAAACTGAGTAACCTAGCTAATCTAAAAAATGATACTTAATCAAAGAGGTGGGTAAGTTTGTAATCCTAAGAGATAACATTTCAAAAAATGATTGATTTACATGGTTTCTTTTGGTCCATGCCATGACCATAAGCATCACATTCAATGTCTTTATTTCTATCTGATAGTTCATAACTAGACACGTGCCTTAGAAAGTAGAAAACAAGTTCCTACAAAAATATATATTTTAGTACATTTAGTATTAGGTCACTTATGTATAAATTTTTTTACTTGTAAATAAATAAATCTTTCAAAATGTCACTAAAATGAATTTTATTCCAAAATGTTATTCGATTTTTGAAAAATATTATTACAATATATCATTTTTTCAAAATTGTAAACTAAATTAAAAATAAACATTAAACCTTAATTAAACCCTAAATCCAAACCAAAATTTTTAACTTATATCCTTAAAAATAACTTTTAGTTTTGTGATGGTATTTTTAAGTAGAAGAAAACTAATATAATAATGGTATTTTAGGATATTTTCTTTTAAAATTTATTATTACTTTTGGATCGGAAATGTTATATAAATCTAAAATAAAAAATTATCAGTTGCCAAAAGTTCTTTTATAGATAAACAAAAAAATAAATTTAGTCATTTAATTGGTGCAACAATATGTAGAACATGTATTGATAAATTTATATAATAAAAATATATATATTAGAGATTAATTAACTGGCTGCATAAAAGTGTAAGTACCAAAATTCAAACTTATCTATTGTTGAAGATAGAATTGTTTAATAGTTTTGCTTCTTAGATGATGTTTGAGATAATAGAGAACAAAAAAGAGTCAAGCAAGCAATAGATAGCTTGCAATATACGAAATCAAATTAAAACAAATTTTATCAGTTATTGTTCGGATTAAGCAATTATTTTATGTAACCATGAATCATGTATAAAGGTTGGCAATAAATAAAGTCAACGAAAAAAAATCTTTGGGAAAATCAAATTTGAAATTTAGGTAGCCATGACATCTTAACATGTTTCTATTATAATAAATGGAAGATAACTTCATTTAAAAAGAGTTGAAGATCTTAATGCACACATAAATTGAGTTTAAATGACTCAACTGATAAACAATTTGGTTGGAAACACGGATTTTGTATAATTTTTTTTTTCTTATAACATATAAATTTTGTACTTAATTCATTCATCATCTTGAGTTGAAAATATTGTTTAATAATTATATATATATATATATATATATATATATATATATTATTTTCAGTAAATGCTAATATTTTTGGTTTATGTGGATTCAACAACTAACCCAACTTCGTTCACTTGGTTAATTTTTCTTTTTGATATGTTGTAAATATGAAACAAGGTTGGGTTAACTATTTTTATTACAGAAAAATCAATAGATTATATTATATGTTTTGTTAGGTAAGTTTTAAAAAAGAAAATTTGTATTGTATATAAATAATTTTAGCTTTCTGCTATCAACAATTTTAAAAGCTATTAATAATAGAAAATACTTAGTTAATGTATATATTATTATAAGTTGACACACATTTTCGAATGAATATCTGATTTTTCGTGAAGTTTTTTATAAACTTTAGAAAAATGACATTTTTGAAAAATGATAATAAAACGGGTTAATTTTTTATGTATTTAAATCTTCTCTAACATTGTAAGCCATATTTAATTATAATTTTAAATAAATGTAAATATCACGAAACGTTAATAGGAGACAACACCTATAACCCATATGCATATGAAAAAATAATAATCAAGCAACCTGCATGCATGTAATGGGTTTCACTAATGAAACACTACTTAGCATCATCATATGTAGTTTAAATTACGTAAAAGTGGTATTATTGTGTGTGTTTTACTTTAACCTAACGACTTAGCGTTATTGTTCATCTTGATATATATATTTTTTTTCAGGCTGGTTATACGAATATTTAAATCCGATCATAAAAAATGTTTGTATAAATTAATGGGTAAGTCCTACTACTTAGGTTCCTGATCGACCCTAGCTAGTGTGGTTTTGAATTTTTGATACAATATGGCATAAAAATGTATGTGTTAAAGCTAATGGATAAGCAAAAATGAATAGAAGAACCAAGTACTAATAACTCAATTGGTAAAGATTTCTGGCAAAAGCTTAAAAGTCGCCGGTTCGAGTAGCGTTTGGGACGAGACAATATAACATGCTTTGGTCTTGGGACTGAGGAGATGTATGGACTTCGGCCTAGAACCTCTTTGATTATTCAATAAAAAGAATATGAATAGAAAAGTTAAAACATAAAGTATGATGAATCTCAGATAGATCAGCTCATGGCGACAAGGATGAAAACTCCAATTCTTCGGTTATATGGAAACCACACAAATTTCCGAGTTTCGCGAATTTAGAATTGGTGTTTCTTCCTACAACTTGATCATGTGCACTCATTTGCGATCAGTAACATTTTGAGTTGTAATGTTGTTTTTAAATTTTTCATTAAGTGTTTTTATTTTTTTTCGTTTTTTCTGTAAATTTTTAACCTTTTACCCGGAAAAAAAATGAATCTGAGTGATTGACAAATGTATGGGAAGTAATGAACAACGAATCTGCTGGAAGATTCCATTGACTACATCTGTTGTAATTAAATTTGATGAGATTTTGAGAATCTGATTTTATAGAAGAAAGTGCGATAGAACCTATCCACACAAAAACGAGTTGAACACAACACAAGTCTTCTCCCAAAGTTAGTGCCACCTTCGAATCCGTTAAAGAGTAATTTGGTAAGAGAGACACGAAGACATGTCATAAAAATGTAGGATTAGGATTAGAAGTAACACTAGTATCTAGTTTATTTATTTACTTTCCAATGAAAAAGTTATCTATTGTTTTTCTTTTTAAAAATTTAATGATAGAAGTTTAGCAAAACTTTTACTTCTATTTTTTTTTACTATAAACAAAAAACCACGATTATAATTTGTCACATATATTTGTCACATATATTTACTATAATTTTGTTGAAAAATAGCCACGGTTTATAATCGTTGAATATTTATTACAAATTTTGCAAGACTTTTTTATATGTCGTAAAAATATTGCTAATTTTTGATGAAAAATTGCAACTTAAACTTTTGTAGTTAATTAGCAATAAATTTGTAAGAAAAATGTAATATTGCATTTATTATTGCAAAAATATGGCAAAACTTATTACAAAATTTTGACGAATACGATCATTGCAAAATTATGTTGCAATATCACTAATTAGTGTCGTCTTGTGTAAATTAAACAAATCGAATCGATTCAAAACTAAACGAAAATTATACAACATTCGAATAGCTCATATCTTTAAGAAATTGGAACCTATGAGAAATATAATGAAATATATAAAATTAACTATTAGACAATAATACACAATATACTAAAAACTAATCGGAAAAAACTAAAAAAAAAATCTGAAAATACGTCAAAAAATATTTAAAAACAGAAAAAAAATACTTGAATGCATTGTAAACAACCAAAAACTAATTCTTTTTGGGTGCCCATATGCATTTTATATTCTAAAATCAAAACAATTAAGACCGACATGAATTATCCGACATCAATGTTTATTTTTTGTTTGATTCGAAAAATTATTATTTAAACTAAAACATCTCCAAACTAACTTTTTTTTGAAGATATAAAAACTACAATTCTCATAATTTAAAAACTAAATGATCTGGATTAAATAAATACAAACGTGCTTCACTTAAATAAGTAAAAAAAAAAAAGTAAACTTGAAACTTAGAAGAAAAATAAAATAATAATAAAGTAACAACTGTGTATATCAAAAGTGCAGCTCTTCCATTGGTGTCCATACAGCTGTTACTTAAGCTCACGAGAATTTTCCTTAACCAAATTAATATATAATTATATATATATATATATATGTGTGTATTATATATATATGTATATATAATGGATCAAACAAAAAAAATAAAAAAATAAAATCAGAAATTGTGGTTTTCATTTTTCATCAGCACCTTCTTCTTCTTCTCGATCCAAATCCTTTGCCATCGAGAGAATCAAATCAAACAAAACAAACACCTCTCTTCATCTTCTTCATCTTCTTCGTCAGAGAAGAGCTTCTCTCGCGTTAACGAATTCGATTCGATTCTTTTGTGGCATCATCATCTCTTCCACCTACGTAAATCCGAGCTTCGTTTTCTAATCATTTGCTTACACTTCCTGAGTGATGAAGATGATGATGATGATGATGACGATGATGATTCTGTGATCTGTATTTTTTGGAACAATTTCTCTGGATTCGGAAGAATCTGTGTTGGTTTGTGGCTGTATACGAAATTAACCACGGCTTGTTTCTTTGGATAATGCTGTTTTTGTTTCGTGGAGGTTTGATTTGGTTACGTTTGATTCCGGAACTTTGATCTGGTGAATGCTCCGCCGATAATAATTTAATTTTCCCTGAGCCAGCGGCTCGGGGAGAGAGAGATCTGTTAAAAGTTCCAAAGAGATTATCGACGAGCGTTTTGGAAGTTTTTTTAAGCTATGTCTTCATCGCCGTCAACGGAAGATGGCGGTTTGGGCTCATCTCGACCACATTCTCATTACGCTTCTATGCAGGAATTCAAACTCTTCGAAACTCTATCGGTAAATCACTTTTTCAATTTGGGATCAGTAGCTGATTGTATGAGATTTTGATTTGTGTTGAGTTGTTAATTCTTGTGATGTGTCTCTGAGAACTCTTATCATGATACTATTTGCAGAACTTTTAGGGATCAGTAGTAATGGTAGTCTGTGTGAGATTTTTATTTGTGTTGAGTTGTTAAGTGTTATAGTGTGTCTCTTGGTATAAATGTGCTGCTCATGGATGCTTTTCTCTAAAGAAACTTATTATGATACTATTTGCAGAACTTTTACATGATTGGTTGGGATGGAAGTGGAGTTTACAGAGTACTGAAGATTGATCGTCTTGATCCATCTGAGCTTAACATTAGTCAAGATTCGACTCCTTACACAAAGAAAGAATGCTATGAGTTGTTGAAACGGATACACGAAGGGAACAAGGCTACGGGTGGGCTGAAATTTGTGACTCTTTGTTATGGTATCATTGGTATGTGTTTGTCTCTAGTTTGTTCAGGTCTGTCTATTGTTGTGTTTACTTTGAGCTTGTTCTCATATTTTTAACCTACTATATTCTCTCAGGCTTCATTAAATTCTTGGGACCGTACTACATGCTGCTTATAACTGAAAGAAGACAAATAGGTGAAGTTTTTGGTCACAGCGTCTACGCTGTATCAAAGAGCGAGATAGTTGGGTTACAAAATTCTACTGTACAGTGCAACGTTGCTAATTCAAGAGATGAAAACAGGTTATTGAGATTTCTTGTGTTATGTTTTGTTATTTATTTTTGGAATGTTGCTAAAAATAAAAATTCATCCTTTCCACATTTTAATGATCTGAAGTCATCTAACCTATCTTTTCTTATGTGGTGTTTCCAATTTGGTGATGAACAGATACAAGAGACTCTTGTGTATGGTGGACCTTACTAAAGACTTCTTTTTCAGCTATTCTTACAATATAATGAGAAGTTACCAGAAGAATATATGCAATTACGAGACTGGGCATGTTCTCTATGAGAAAATGTTTGTCTGGAATGAGTTCTTGACTAGGGGAATCCGACATCATCTTCAGAATACCCTGTGGACTGTAGCATTGGTGTATGGTTTCTTTAAGCAGGTGAGGATTGTATGTTTTCTGATAGCTCAATGCTAGAAGAAAAATTCAAAATGCATATCTTCTCTTACAGCCATTACCTGAGTCCTGCAGTGTCTTGTTTTATCATTTCTTTATTGCACCAAAGGCCTAGTCAGAAGCTTTCTGTTTCACATACAGATTTCTGTCATATTATATCAATTATGCTCTGTTGTTGAGCTAGTTCAGTTATATGTAGTTATGGTATACTGGCATCTTAAATCTCTAACACCTGGATACTCAAGAACCATGCCTCATTTTGCATGTAGGCCTCTCTTTCTGAATCTGGCCGGGATTTTAAGATCACCCTTATTGCTAGGCGCTCCCGTCATAATGCTGGAACCAGGTAATCATTTTCTTTCACTCCCTAGTCAGGCAATTTAGGTTCTGTGTTAAGCATGTATTCACACTGCAAGGTGTGCCTCCAGAGACTACATGTAAACTTTTCCAAAAAAAACTGCATAGTTAGTCATATCTGGATATCTAGAGCATTGTACAATACCCGATAATAAGAGATGAAAACAATACATTGTATTTGAAATATCACCACTATTCATAGATACCCTTCTTACCTTCTTGTAATATTCTCTTAACATTAGGTACTTGAAGCGAGGAGTAAACATAAATGGCAATGTTGCCAATGATGTCGAGACCGAGCAGATAGTGTCTGAAGATGTTCCTGAAGACCGTCCAATGCAAGTGAGTTCTGTTGTGCAGAATCGTGGCTCAATCCCACTTTTTTGGTCACAAGAAACCTCGCGACTGAATCTAAAGCCGGACATAGTCTGTAAGTTTTGTGGCACTAGAATTTCTGCACTGCTCCCACTCTGTCTCTCCTTTCTATCTTCTCTGTTTGACTGCTTTCTATCAAGTGCAGTGTCAAAAATGGAACCAAACTATGAGGCGACTAGACTTCACTTTGATAACCTTGTAGAACGATATGGAAATCCCATCATCATTCTGAACTTGATCAAGGTGAGTTGCCTAATCCACCTAGTATCTCACTTGGTATCATCATTTTATCTTATGCATCCACACCTTATTGTTCATTTTTTATTTCACAATCAATAGACGAAAGAGAAGAGACCTAGAGAGTCAATCCTCCGGGAAGAGTTTGTTAAGGCAATTGACTTTATAAACAAAGATTTACCTGAGGAAGATCGTCTGCGATTTCTTCACTGGGACCTGCACAAACACTTTCGGAGGTATCTGTTGTATACACCCTTGTGTTCCAGCTGCTAGAATCATGTGAAAGTCCTTTAATATATTTGTAGATTAAAAGCAGTTTTCTGTTTTCTCTCTTTCCAGCAAAACAACAAATGTCTTGGCGCTCCTCGGCAAAGTAGCTGCATGTGCATTGATTCTAACAGGTTTATTTTACTATCAAGTTTCACCAGCCATGAAGATTGAGGGTTACATGAGCTTGTCTTCTTCTTCTGAGTAAGTCCTCTAGCTTGACTTCTTCCATCACTTCTTTATATATTTTCTTTGTCCAACTTATATTTTGTGGTGTCTCAGTTTCCTGTTCTTCAAATTTGATTTAAGATGAACCTTGTTAACATAAATTATTGTATTTTCTTCTTAGTGATGATATTTCTGATATGGTCATTGATTATCATCAGTTTGTAAATTTATTTTAAATGAGTAATAGCATTAACGGCAGGCTGGTAGAGATGATGTAATATAAATAGATTTTGCATACTATTTTTGTAAACAGATGATGTTACCGTTCTGCTGTTTAAAATTGCAGTGCTGACACTGGGGATATATCTCCACACACTAGTTCTGATGATGATAATGAGGATCATGATAGCCTTGAGAAGAAATCTAGTAGGAGTAAGAATATTGCTTATGAAAATTGTGATGTCAAGCCACCCAGGCTTCAGAGTGGCGTTCTTAGGACCAATTGCATTGATTGCCTTGATCGCACAAATGTAGCACAATATGCATATGGTTGGGCTGCTCTTGGGCAGCAGATTCATATATTAGGAATTAGAGATGTACCAGCCATAGAACTTGATGATCCCTTGGCTATTTCGTTAATGGGATTGTATGAGAGAATGGGCGACACACTAGCTCATCAGTATGGTGGATCTGCAGCCCACAACAAGGTAATGCTTATTTATTTTACTCTGAAATTCACAGAAACATCGATTTGGTGTGTCTTGTTCATAGAGAATTGTAATATATCTCTTGCCAAACAATGGGTGATATGGTTCTTAATTTTGTAATTTGATTATGAATAATATTTAGAACCATCGGTGATTCTTGGTTGAGCAATGTCTAGGACCAAAACAAACATCTCAAGTTAACATTTTGAGCATTATTATGTGGATGCATAATGTTGATTCCTAGAATTTCTTGTGGGCAATAGGTTTTCAGCGAGAGAAGAGGCCAGTGGAGAGCAGCAACTCAGTCACAAGAGTTCTTGAGAACTCTGCAACGATATTATAATAACGCCTATATGGATGTAGATAAACAAGACGCCATTAATATGTAAGCTACTTTCTCTCTCTCGTTCTCTCTGGAAACATATTCGTGTTGAACGCTTTTTCAGGTTTGTTACTTTTCTATATGCAGATTTCTTGGCACGTTTCAGCCTGAACAGGGAATGCCGACAATCTGGGAGTTACGATCAAATTCCCTCTCTAATGGACGAAATGGACAGATGGGCATAGGGGAAGATGAAAGGTAGCTTCTGACTATTCAAACATGAATCTGGTGCCAGCTATTTTATAAATCTCATACTTAATTAAGGTTTGAAGTGTTCAATTCTCTCCTTTAGACATACTTCAGTGATTAAGGAGTCCTATGGTTTCTAATATATTCTAGACCTTATCGAGGTGTCTGCTTCAGGATATTTGAGATGGATAGGTTCAAAATCTTTTAATATCAAAATGCATTCTCTAATGTAACTTCCATTCTCTAATGTAACTTTCATGATATTTATCATATTCCATGGGAAGACCAAACTATTTGGACAAGTGAAATTTTCTTAGTTGAGAAAAAAGATTCATGAGAAATGACAACTGGTTTGGTTACTGCATTAAGCTGAATTCTAGAACTTTAAGCTGCTGATAGAAATTATTTAGGGATCTATTTTTTCTTTTTCTTTTTTTTGATGTTTATGACGTACTTTTTTTCTCTTAAAATGTGAAACCTTGATAGTCATGTTTCTTCAGTAACTTGAGCTCGTCGTATAATGCTTTCAGGTTTCTTGTGAAAAGGTGCTTATCAGATGGAAATTTTCTCCATGAAAGTTGCGCTCCGCTATCAGCCATGAGTAGCAATCATGAAAGCATGCCACAAAAAGGTTTCTCGGCGCCATTACAGCATGTGAGCCATAGTCTTTCAGAGTCATCATCTGATATACCAGTTTCTAATGATGTAGCATTAACAAGGTTTGTTTCTATCACTCTTACATCTTATTCTGAGTGGAGATAAGATTATATATTGTTTCACTGTTAGGATTTGTGTTAGTTATGGTAGTTGAACTTATTTTGATAGGTATGCAGTAATTTCTGTTTTAAGCGTCCATGTCATGTTTTGGGCGTTATAATTTTGCTGGGAGAAGATCTTTTTTTAAATAACTTTTATTAATAGGAAGGAGCTCATGTGGTCTTTGGCAGTTTTCTTGGCTCTTCATGGAATCAAATAATTAACCTTAACACATTTGTTTTATTCAGTGAGTTGTAGTATGTTAAACTGACTTTTCCAGCCATAATTTCTATGTAGGTGTACTCATTCGATGCCTAGGAAACAGCTCTTCGGAGATGTGCAAAAGGTTCATCATTTTGGCAGCGACCAAGTTTACTTTGGCGGGGAGGAAGACATGTCTAGTGTCTCCAATTTTGTTGATATTGAGTGGCTTTCATCATCAGAAAATTGCGAGAACATTCTATTTGACAGGTAACAAATACCATGCTTTAAAGAGCATAGATAATCAGAAGTAGTAAATACTATTAAAGCTTGTGACACAGGAGCTTGAAATTGTTAGCCAGTTGAAAATTTTCAAAAAAATCAGTCAACTATCTACAAACCAACTGTCCAAAACCCAAATCGAAGGAACATGACCGAATTGATTAGCCTCACTGATTACTACACTAATTGTTAATTTTTGATGAGATAGAAGCTGATGATAACTTGTGGTTTCTCCAGATATATAAATACCAAGATGTACTTTACTCTTATCTGTCAAATATGGTTGTCTTGATAAATCGTGTTACTTTTGGCAGGTCGTCAGCGTTTACAAGAGATTTGACAGCGGAGAGGTCTTCAACAGAGAATATCACCAATGGAGTAGGACAATCTGCACCAAGTAGAAATGAAAGTGGGTCAAGCAGTAGTAAGGTCAGTAGCTCTTTCTCCATTATTGGCTTCGGTCACAAAGAATTTGGTGGGTTTTTGTTCATCCACGAATGTGTTGATGATGTCTTAGACTAATTAGTTTTCCCATATGAATTCTTGGTTAATCATTTAATCAAATAGATTATAAGGGATGTATAAGATGAGTTCAACGGATGTAACCAGGATCTAATTGACAGATAAGTTACAAGTAGAGAATTTGTTTTTACTCCCTGTTTTTTTCTTACATTACATAATGAAACCAATATGAAATGCCTTCGAGTCAAGTCGAGTCAAGTCGAGTCAAGTCAATTTGTAGAAGCTAAAAGAATTTTCAAGTGTGAATGATCTCTCAGGTGTTAGTTTCACAACTGCAGTTTGATTCTTAATTCTCTTAGAAGATTAGAAACTGTTTTTGCTTATGTGCAAAACTGTATTTGTCGTCAGGGAAAGGAACCGATGGGAACAAAGAATCGGGAGGACTTTCCAGATAGCTTCAAAGAATGGGTAGCATACGGTGAAGCACTCTGCCACTGAGTCCGAAACCTTAGGAACACGGAATGGTACAAAAGAGTAGTATAATACTGAATATAGCTGAAAACATTTGTGCTGCAGAAAATTTCATCTTTCTTTTGAGTACTTCTTCTTTTTTCCCCTTAATTTGTTTCAAAGCCGTTTGTATATAGTGTAATGTTTATATATACAAATCTTGTACGATTCGTGTTAAAATTATTTGTAGGTAATCGTAATCGTAATCCCTTCTTTTATTGCTTTCTCGGTGTATCTGTAATGTTTTGAAGACAAGCACCTGCGTTATATATTGCGTTCGTGTTTTCTGTAGTCCGAGTGAGTGAGAAACTTGATTTGGTTAGACATTGGGCGTGTTCTTTTATTAGTCGCTCAACTAGCGACAACAAAAATTAAAGGCGTGTTCTTTCTTCTCCATCGTCACTGCTAAAAAACTGAAGCTTTTATTTGTGGTCGTGTTGATCGTTGTGTGTCGCTGGAGTCTTTTCTGCCATCAAAATAGTGCAATTTTTCTGACACCAACGCTGGTCGTGCGACTGTTAAAAAGAACACGCCCAATTTCGAAATGGGTCCAAGTTTGTTAATTACCAACGCGATTCATATACCGGATATGCAAAATGTTGTGCTGCTATGCCGATATCATAAGTGGCCCGTTATATCAAGTAACAAAGAAAACATTTCCCAATTAGATAAGATCATATTGTTAGGATTATGAAAAGAGAGTATCACAGATCGTGTGACTCACCCTCTCGCTCTATCTAGCATCAAAAGACTTGTGAAGTTGAACGATTTACAAAAAGAGAAATGTAGCCGTGTTGGATTATATCAGCTCAGCTATAACAACAACTAGAGATGCAACAAGTTGGATATGAAGTTCCATCCCATCATCCATGTCTTCTTATCTGAAGGAGAAGCAAAGTTGAGCTCAAACATTTCTTTTCTTATGTTCTCCCCCGAGTCACAGAACCCGACAAGCTTAGCCACGATCTCCGCGCTCTCTCTCACGTGCTGCATGTTGTGAGGATCTGTCCAGAGTTTGTTGATGAACTGATGCCTCCTCTGTTTTCCCACTGGTGGGATATCCCATTTCAGGTACAGCATCTCTCTTTCCTCTGCTCCTAGCTTTGTGTTTACTCGTTTCGCCAAGTAGTCTCTCTCCTGCTTCAAAGCTCTAATGCTGCACCACCAAAGACAGACATATGCTTGTGAAAAACGTTGGACTTATAGAATCGAATAAAAGGAAGGACAAGGAAAGCTCTTGTGTTACCTTGATGCTACGTAGCTTGCTGGTTCGTCTCCAAGTAATGCAGGACTCGCATTCCCAAGCTCGGCCATGTGCTGTTCGAGCCATGTCAGCCTCCGGAGCTCGACTTCCATGTAGATTTGATCAGCTGGGTCTCCTTTGAATAACATGTAGAATTGTGTCCTGTGGATGATTGAGATGTGGCACAGATGCCATAACATTATGATTTGCTTTCTCTGCTCGTCAAAACACAAGGGCCAATCCATCTGAGATTCATCGGTTGCATCCAACTCTGAAGCAGCACCCGTCTCATTTGCCTCCATTTCTAATACCTAACATGGACAAAATTTTAAGTTACTTAATTTCCTGGATCTGAGAACAGTAGAAAATTTTCCTTTCCAAGGCGAGTATGAACAAATTAGAACATCAGTGAGCACAAGTCACAAGTTTAAACTGACCTGGCAAACAAGAAGCTGTTTCTGGTATTGAAGCTTAGCCACACGTTCTTTCAATCCAGTAACATAATCTTTAATGTTACGTATATTCTCTTCAGCAGCATTCTTAAACATTCGATTCATTCTCTTAACATCGACTGAATTTGCTTGTCGTGATACAGGAGTTCCTTCCCTTGACGGTGTTCGATTGCGGTTATCACCCTTCTTTGGTGGAGTAGCTCCAAAAGACACTGAGGTTGAAGTAGCAGAAACAACATTGCTCTCAGGAGCCTTATTTTCAGTCCCAGAAGACGAATGAGGTGAACATGGTGCCCGGATCATATGCTGTATGTTAGGACTGTTACTTAAGCCAAAGGGAAGAACTCTCTTCTTTTTTACCTGGGTCCTAAAGTCTGGAGTCTGTTCATCTGTCTGATATGACGAGACAAGCATGTCAATAGTGTTCTGAACAGTCTCAAGCTTCTTCTCCATAGCTGCAATTTCTTGAGAATTCAACCGGGTTATTTCTTCCTTCAGGTTAGCTTTATCACCAACTACAATTTCCTCGGTTAAAAGGTTGCTCTTCTGCATGTCCCGGATTTCTAACAGCATTTTTGCAACTTTTTCTGCAGCTTGTTGATCACCCAGTTTATGGGATGTCACTTCTTTATGAATTAGCTCCAGTGCTTGGTTTGCTTCCTCACCCAACTTCTTTTGATGCTTTTCAAGCAAACGAATTTCTTGGACTAGCGCTGTTGGATCTGCTGAAGTTAAAGACTGCCTCATATTATCCTTTCTCCTACCACGAGTTGTTCTGCGGCTTTTCGAAGCAGAATTGCTTGGAATGGACTCCTCCTCAGTACGGTAGGAGAGACACCTTGCCACTTGAGAAATAGGTTCAGACTCATTTGACCCCTGAAACCAATTATATAGCATGTGTGTGAATAAGGATTAAGATATCCCAGAAAATATTGGTATCTCATATTATTAGCGCACATACCTTCTGCTCCTTTGCTTTTCTTTCTAGATCAAGTTCAGATTGTGCAACGTCTCTCTGGCGCTTTAGCTCTTTCATTTCGGATTCCATCTGCCATTAGTATAATTACTAGTGAGACTATAAACACAAGATGCTTTCCCTTAATAAAAATTAAGTCAACGTCGCATATGGTTTAATTTTTTAGTCTGTGAAGTCCACATTTCAAATTTTCAGCAAGATAATTCAAGATATAGATCCTAGTTCTTAAAGTCTAGGTCCATACCTGTTGGATTTTCATCTCTTTCTCAATTAACAGAGACTTTAAGCAGGTAGATGAACTCGGCTCCGGGCTTCTTAACTCTGACTCGAGTTTGGCTACTTTTTGCTGCAGATGTTTCAGCAACTTTTTGTCTGAGACAACCTATAACAGAAAATCACATCCCTAAAATGAGTACCAGCAGAAGTTTATTTTCTATCAAGAACAAGCAAAACCATATTATTTTTAATCAAACAAAAAGAAGTTTGAAAGCATAAGGAGTAATGTTAGTGGAAGAGCGACAATAGAAGGCTTTGAAACCGAATTGATGCATAGCTATGCAGTCATATTAAACTTCAAAGAATGCTCAGTATTGAGAATTCTTTCATAATCATAGATAACTGCATACGCTCTCTATAAGATGATGATTGCTACTCACGAACCAAACCATAGCTTCTATGAAAGGCCAAAGAATAGCTATATGGTGTCAAAGGCAAAGCTATATATAATCATCCTATTTCTGCAAAATGAAAGACCCCCACAAACATCTAACTAAGTCACGTACCATGTTTACTTTAGCACAGTTTGTGACTTCCTTCGCACTCATGGCAAAAGAGAGTGTCTTTTTTGTCTGTTCAACGTGGCTCAGTGCTGGGCTAATTGTACATATAATTGCTGTTCTGGCATTCCCGCCAAGTGAATTTTGCAAAATCCTTGTCAGCTTTGAGTCTCTGTAAGGTACATGATCACTTCTTCTCCCAGAACTACAACAAAAATAACAGAAATAAACAGAACCTTAAGTTTTGCTTTTCCAATCTATGCTGGCACTTCAAAGCAAGGTTTACAGCGATAAAAATATGTTAATATTTTGCTAATATCTGAAAATTCCCTACCGGTGAAAATGTTCATCAAGCTAAAAGGTAATCTAGACATGCCCATAGACAATCATAGTGCTCAATTATTGTGCTTTCTGACCTCAGTTTTCTGATCACTGTTGTGAGTGTCAACAAACTACGGTTAATATGGCTTCCTTCCTTCAATCGTAGACCATCTGCGTTTGTTTGACAAGCACGTTCGCTTCCAGCAAGATCAACAAGATTCTGCACCAATGAAATTATCTTAAATACCAAGTGAAGCTTCAACCCAAAGATAATAAATTGACGTACCAGGGTTGCCATGAAAGACTGCACACAGCCTGCTATTTCCCTGAGACTGCTCTGGATGGTCTGAATATCAAAAGCAGAGAAAAGCAGAGAACATGAGAAATTGTGGAAAGTAGTTATCTCTACTGTCTAATAGGTACTGTTTCTCCGTGTCAAACACATTAAAGAAATAGAGTATTAATTCAATTATGCAGCATATCACATGAGCATAGATCATACCAGCCGAATAATCTGATGCGATCTTGAACTTTTGTCATTCAAAGCAGTTTCACCTACTTGCCGTTGATCTGTCAAATCAAATGGAAAATTTCATAACATGAAAGAAAAAGATGATATTATATGTTAATGAGGCAATATAGTTCTAAACATATGTACCTAGAATGCTACCATCATCAAATGCTTAAAAATATACAGAACATCTGAACAGGTGATAGGCAGATTACCTTCACAAATGCTAATTAAATGCTGTAAATGTTGTCTGCTTTCTACCACTTCCTCCACCAGATTTTCCACAATGGTTCCTTTCTGCAATATCGACAACATTCTTATACTAGCCGAGACAGTATATGTCTCTTTTAACACTTGACTTAGTGTTTCCGACCATTTACTTACCTCTGGATCATCTAACAGTCGAAGGGGCCCAGTATCACGATTTAAAAGGTCAACCACGGTCTCGTTATAGATCTCTAAAGCAGATACTTTCAAGACGAACCTCCTTTCTTGAGTCTGTATAGATTTCAATAGATCCATGAGTTTAGAAGGAGAATATACCACCTCGAAACTTAAACAATAACTAGGAACCATCAATTTGGTCACTCACTTTTCTTATATGCTCGTATATATCTTTAACAACACTTTCAGTAACCCCCCTCATTGTAAACGTCTTGCCACTACTGGTCTGACCATAAGCAAAAATTGTTGCTGCAATGAATAAAGACAAGAGTTCACGTATCTAGATAATGCATACATAGCTAAAGCTTAACTAAAAGAAAAATATCTTTAGATGATGGGATTTGAGATATCTGTTTAACTACCATTGGTTCCTGCTAATGCAGATAGTGCAACGTCCCTAGAACCACCTTCATAGACCTCTTGAGTTGCACAGGTTGGCTCAAAAACTTTATCTACAAGTACATAGGAAAACAAAGAAGCAAATGAGCTATATAACAAAAT